CTCCCTAAACCGGCCAGAGGTCTGCCAACACCGCTCCCCAAACCGGCCAGAGGTCTGCCAACACCGCTCCCCAAACCGGCCAGAGGTCTGCCAACACCGCTCCCCAAACCGGCCAGAGGTCCGCCTGAAGAGCTGGCACTGGGCGGGGCTGTTGGCGGAGTGCCCGCAGTGGGTGAAGACTACGTGCCCACCGGTGCGACACCAAAGCTACGAGAAAGTCAAAAGCCATGGCCGCAGTTGAGAAGTCGCTACGAGTTCGCGGCCGACACCTACCAGAGCGCGCGTACGGGCAATACGACGTCCGGTGAGCTAAACGTGAGCAGCGATGAGTGGCCGGCCGGCGTCTTAAAAGGTCTGCCAGTGGCCCAACTCCAGGCTAAGACTAAACGGGATTTGCGGAAACTAAAGGGTAAGGGCTTTGACGTGGCCTACATCGCCAAAAAGTCACTTGGCCGGGGTGCGTTTGGCCAGGTGTTCAGCGGCGGTTATACCAATCAGGTATTTAAAACATGATTAAAGTAGTGATTTTATTTATTATCATATAATTTGTTTATGTAATACTCAATAGATCGAGGTGACAAAGCGCACCGAACAGGGTCGCTACCTGAGCGATGTCAAGTCGGGCGACCGGTTCGCGGCCAAGTATGTCCAGTTCCCGCCCACTAGTGAGGCCAGCGATCATCTCAACTATTTCATCGAGAAATGTATATTGAAATCACTGCAACACAAAAACATTGTCGCCTACAGAGTGGCCATCAATTTGGGCCGAAAAGTGATACTTCGCAGCGTATCGGGTGACCCGTCGCAGGACATTGTCTCCTATAAGCGATCGTTTGTGGTCATGGAGTGCGCCGACCAAGGTACTCTCAAACAGTTTTGCGTCGCTGGCCGTCTCACCGATCAGTTGACGGTGCAATTTACCCGGGAATTGTGCACCGGTATGTTTTAATCACAAAATATACACATTATTTTAAATGATTATAATTTACCACTTGATTTTTTCTATTTAATTTCTAGCCATGGCTTATATGCACGGCAAAGGGGTCAGTCACGGCGACGTTCACGCCGGGAACATGCTGGTGTTCAGCGCACCCGGCGGTGGGTATAGCGCCAAATGGTCCGACTTTGGTCTGG